TTTGAATTTGCGGGCTTATCCAACTTATGGTTGGCGTTTAAATAGACTATTTAAAATTCAGAATAAAATTCTACAATTTGCTTAAATATACACAAAAGAATACGTTAAGTAATTTTTAAAGATTTTACTGCTGTTTTCATTGCGCTACGCTTTCAGACATTTTGTTTCAATATATTTAGTGAAGCATCACGTGATGATTGCAGTTCCTTAAAATAACCATACACCAAAACTTGGCGATTAAAAAGAGTGGTGGAGAGTTTCTCGCCAGTTCTAATCAACCGCTCTAGGCTGTTGATTTGGGAACTCGTAGTAAATGTAAATTTAAATACAGGAATCTAGGCTCCGATTATGATTTTGTCTCATTCGGTGTCGAGCCCCTCAGTCCGTGGGGTCCTAGCGCTATAAGGTTTTTTAAGGAAATAGCAAAAAGGTTAGTCGACATCACAGGAGACCGAAGAGCTGGCAGCTACCTCGGACAAAGAATTAGACTAGCTATTCAAAGGGGGAACGCTGCCAGTATCTTTGGAACCTTGCCTAAAGGGACTCGTCTTAATTATTTATTTTAGTTACGTGTACATATGATCAATATGATCAAATAAATTTGGAATTAATAATTGAATGATAAATATTGTTAAATTATGTTAACGTTTATTTGTATAAATAGTTATGGTAATTATTTCTATATTAAATAATAGATACCAAAATATATTTCTGAAACATTGTTAGCGTGTCTTTAAGCGTTGGCTGTAAACTTTGATATCGTGAATTTAAATCCACCTAAATAGATTTGTAATTCCATGTTCTTAAATAAAACTTGCTCCTACAATGGCGTAAAACATTGACGTGTGTCAGGCACTAAAGATTGATTACGTACAGAAGGCAAATAACCATTTAAACATGTATAAATATACCCTATGCCCCTTTCTTTGTAACACAAGTCTATAATTTATATGCCTATGGCGATACAACCTTTTAGCATTGGGCCTCAGATTTCTGTATCAACCATCTGTGCCTGACATACACCGACGACTTTTTGGGTCTAAGGAATGCCGGTTTCTCTTTCAAAATTTGCCGAAAAAGATTATCAATTCTACGTATTTTTAAAAGTAAAGGCTAGTAATATAAAATAAATCAATCTAATTGCACCGTTGTAACTAAAGTATGTTTGTGCCTACATCACAGCCTAAACACAATTGAAAAAAAGATTCAATAAACCGAAAAGATAAGAAAGATGTAAAGAGATTTATAATTACCCTGATTTACCTAAACGAAATGTAGGATAACTTCTATTTGAAATCTCTATTGAGATTTTCACATTTCACTTATCCTACAATTTATCTGCATATCGTCTTAGACTTGCGGGAAATTATGTTCTCATAAAACAGCGCAATTAGAATTGAAACGAGCAATTCGTCCTTCAACGCCTGCGCCATCAGAATTTCATGTAATCCCCGAGGCTATTCTTACAGATCTTGATAATACATGCGGGTTGGATTATTTCCCCTACTGTGCTTGGCACATACGTCACTGGATAATTTAGGCACGCTAATCACAGACCGTCTCCCTTTGTTGAACTTGATTGATGATATGTATATTATCTTGGCTCTATTGTTAGTGCAGGAAATGTACTTGTGATGGTTTTTATGTCAAAATTAAATGCAAAACTATTCTGAATATTCGAAATTATATAAGTTTTGCGCAGAGCCCTTTGACTAGGGCATATTCAAATTGAAGTTTACTACTCGAATCTAATATTTTGCGCACAACTTAACTGATTTGCTCTATATTTATGTATTTGAAATTTATTTGAATTGAAAGTGATTATATAATATAATAACGAAAGTAATTATTATTTTATAGACTAAGATTGTATATTTTTTTTAGTTAGCTTTAATGTAAGGTATTTATGTTATATGATAATAATAAAAATGCTTTCAACAAAGGAATAAAAAAGAATAACTTCAAATACCTGTCAACTGAAAGTAATTACAAATATGTAAATAATATGAAGTTTATATACATAAGTGTATATTAGTATATTAATCCACTATTTCGATATTGATCAAACAGTGGATTAATATATGGACTTAAACAGTTTCCTCAGAAATCAAAGAGGATCATATCGATATGACCTTAAGTTTCCGATAAATTTGTGGACAAACATGCTAATTAACAATTGCCATAGATATAGTAAATTAAAAGAAAAAAAAAACAATTTCAAAATATGGTTGATTTCTTTCTTAGAGCTGTGTTGGCCTAGTGGCTTCAGCGTGCGACTCTCATACCTGAGGTCGTAGGTTCTATCCCCGGCTGTGCACCAATGGACTTTCTTTCTATGTGCGCATTTAACATTAACTCGAACGGTGAAGGAAAACATCGTGAGGAAGCCGACACGTCTCAGACCCAAATAGTCGACGGCGTGTGTCAGGCACTAGAGGCTGATCACCTACATATTAGATTTAAAAAATGATCATGAAACAGATTCAGAAATCTGAGGCTAAGACCTAAAGAGGTTGTAGCGCCACTGATTTTTTTTCTTAATTTCTTGAGTTGCTTTATTTTTCCTGCAAATTTAGTGCTGTTAACTAAACATAAACCTGTAAACTTTGTTTGGAATCCTACTTTGCATCCTATAACCAGTTCCAATATTGACCTCAAACTAATGCATGATACATGCAATGGCCAATCACAAGCGTGCGACCAATACACCTGTGGTACAAACGTGCCGTGTCGGGAATGACTGATTTGATTTGAAACAAATTACTTTCGCAAATAGGCGATGAACAGTCGTTTTACCATAACCTCGTTGCTTAGTACTTTCATCGTAATGCAGAATTTATAGAATCATTGTAGTTATGGATATAAATTTTAAATTATATCTAACGAAATTTAATTGTTAATGTCGCACTTGCAATTTTTAATATATCAATAAAATTTCAAAAGATCTTTAAATAGTAAAACATAATGTCTTGAGATCGAAGAGTTTTTTTTCAATTTTTAATACGTATAACTTGGCTCTGACTAAGAAGAAGTTATATCCTTAAGGCTTGCTAGGCCAGGCACAATCTAACTTAATCATCAAGTGAAATCAAGGAAATGTAACATTCATATGAAAAATGCCGAAAATCCATTAAGTATATCATTCATTTTCCTTGATTTAACAACCTTAATGTACTTTCGGGCATAGAACTTCAATATATTATATACAACTAGCTGGTGCCCGCGACTTGGTCTGCGTAGGATTAGTATTTCTAGTAGCTCATATTAGCATGGCGTAGAAACGAACTAACATTATGACTTTAAAATAAATAATTTTTGAGTTGCATTTGCAAAATATAACAGACTGACATTATTGAGATGCTACAGACACACTATATTAATATTGTCAACATAAGAAATATCGTAACTGCACCCTAATCATAAGCCTATAGGTAGCTACTGTAATATGCTCCGAGAAACTATATTTAACGATTTTTTTCCTTCAGCATAAACATGCAGATTTTTCGCTTTGGAAACAACTCGCAGATAGTAGATTTTTTCCCACTTACTTGATATTTTTAACAATTCACACAATATACAGTTTATAATATTAGTAGGACCTTAGAAAAGGTATGTACGTTTCCTTTACTTATCTTGAATCTTTTAAAACAATATTATGCATCAATCTTCCGTTCAGTTCTTTTGTGTAGGTGCGAAACATTAATATTCAGTGATTTATATCAGAGATTCCGACCACTTACCTTTATTTAAGACGGCCAGCCATATAACATTCGAATTTATTAGATTGTACTTTGTTCAAGTCGCAATCTGATTCTAATTTCTTGTAAAATATTGCCTGTTTATGTAATAAACTTATTTTTATAGAACGGGCCACCTATTGTTGAGTGATTCCGTCGTCCATGGACACCCACAGATCGCGAGTGTCTGAGTCCTGTATCCCCTGAATGGGTCAGGGAGCAGACATATTTCTGTGTCTCTTACATTAACTATATTTATTTAGACAAATAGTTAGCCCTTGTGTACCCGAAACACAACAATATGTGGGTCAAAGCCAGCTGAAGATGTGTTCTTCGTGTATGAGCAAGTATTTATATTCCATACAGCGTCAGAGTGAAATTCACATATAATGACATAATATATTACAATGCTTAAACCATGTATTAATGTGTAATTATGTGTAATTGTCTACTATGTCTAGTGAGATGTGTTGAAATTCATAAAATTTGCTAAGAATTGTGAATTATTAGGGTTGTAGTCGCTGCGGTCACATTGCCAGCATTTATGACGAGAGATGGCTCAAAATAACCCTTACTTGGAATGGCCCAGTAACAAGACAAAAAGAGAGGACGCCCACCAGGGAAGATGGAATAAAAAGGGTAGCGGGGAAGGGCAGGAAAATGGTATTGAGGATGAAAAACAAGTGGAAAAATTTGGAGGAGGCCTTCACTCCTGCAGTTGAGTTTAATCATCGGACGTCGAGGCAGAATACGAAATTCCACCCGTATCACCTCGACGTCCGCCGTGCCACAACTGAACGTTTTTCAAGGCAGTTTTTGTCGCGCACCACCACTTTGTGGAACCAGCTGCCCACTGAAGTATTTCCGAACCAATTCAACTTAGGGTCCTTTAAGAAAAGAGCGTACCAATTATTAAAAGGCTGGCAACGCACTCGCGAGCCCTCTGGCATTGAGAGTGTCCATGGGCCGCGGTATCACTTACCATCAGGTGAACCTATTGCCCGTTTGCCCCCTGTTCTATAAAAAAAAAATCTCCATTCGAGGTCGTGTACTTATGTTAAACATAATGACATAGGCTTTTAATGTAATACTGATTATGTGGTTCTCGAATACAGGCTATTTTTTGTTTTGTTTTTATATCATCTTGTTAATTTAATTATTATTTTTCATCCATCCATATATTCTAGCTTTATATTTAATGTATCTTTTTTGTATCTTCTACAGTGTTGTAGCTGTTTCCTAATAAGTAAATAAAACGAATAAATGAAAGGAAAATCTCCTGACGAAGTTAACCATAAAACTTTACGTAAGGGCTGAACACATAAGCTAAGTATTTGTTGCAATTGTATGTTCATGATCGCAATAACAATAAGAGATAAATAAGTGTAGGGTCACCGTAATTCCAGTCGAATAGAACATTCATAACGTCACCCCACAACCCGCAATCTTGTGGTTGCTGCGAGAAATAATTGGATTCGCTTTGCAACTACAAATTCATAACCAGTACAGTGGTTCAGATACAGATAAAACTTAATATACTTCCTCAAATTTAGTTTTGAATTTGGAAATATATAACTTTTAGTAATAAATGGTTATTTGCAATATTGAGCACGTAAAATTAGTTTTTGTGCATAATAACTCGTTTAAGTATGTTTTTTATTTTTATATCTAATATGATGAAACTGTACTGGTTTACGACCTGGGTGTTATAAGGTCAGAGGTGAAGCAGAGAGAGGCTGATTACTACTATAATTTATGAATATAACAAGACTGTACGTGGCGCGATATCCCAACTTGTTGTAACACATTAATACATAACTGTTTTTAAATAAGTAAAGTAAAATACCAAGATGATTATAGTTAAAAGTACTTTTATTATAGTAGAGACTAAGATTTGCTATTTTCTCTACTAAAGTGATTGATTATTCAAAGAATCTTTGGTCCTGTTTGCGACGACGGTGTTTGGCGTTTTACACTGAAGAACTTTATTTCCTAGACGACGCCAACATCGTCCAATTCATAATGTGCAACATGCACAAATGGCTGGGATATGTACACCGAATGGCGAACGACAGAACTCCAAAGTCCTTACTAAACTCACAACCCGATGGTAAAAGAAAACCCGGTAGACCGAGGCTGCATTGGTGATATGCAGTGGTCAAGAACCTCTAAATAATAGTTCGATATTGGACGCGGGAGGTACTGGATATATTGCGATGACGAAGTGTACTTGAGAATAAGACCCACAAGGGGCTGTATAATGCTATTGGACACATTGTTAAATTTTTATATGTTTTTAGATAGTTACTGGTTAGTTTATGGGGCTTGATTGTTTGATTGATGTCATTAAGAGACAGGCAGTAAAATAATAAAATATACAACAAAGATCTACTATAGCAGCTCCTTACAAACGTTGTATAAAAAAAAAACATTGCGATTAAAAAGAGTGGCGGAGAGTTTATTGCCAGTTCTTCTCTTCCGTTCTACGCCCTTGATTTGAGAACTGGCACTAAATTTAAAATTAGAAGCATTAATATGTATTTCTTTACTGACGAGTCATAAGTATACAATGTGTTACCTATATGATTAAATGATTTTTGAATTTTGATAGGTCCCTACGGGCCCTGTCCCTCAGTAGGTCACTGATCGATACATTAATTATCCCTTGTCGATTTTATTTATAACGTATTATAGAAATCAATAATATGTTTTATGTGACAATTTAAAACTAAAAATTCATAAATTAATATGAATGAAAAGTTGCCAAAAGTTCATCTAATATATAAAATTCTCGTGTCGCGGTGTTAGTGGTTAAACTCCTCCGAAACGGCTTGACCGATTCATGAAATTTTGTGTGCATATTAGGTATGTCTGAGAATCGGACAACATCTATTTTTCATCCCCCTAAATGTTAAGGGTAGTTCACCCCTAAATTTTATTTTTTATTTGTTAGAGATTTTTTTTGTTTTTATTTTTTTATGATACAGCATTAAAAAATACATACAACCCTAAATTTCCAACCCTCTACGATCAACCCCTATTTTTTTCTATAGTAATTTTTATTGAGCTAAAAAAAGTTTCCTAAAAAAATACATACATGGCAAAACGACGTTTTCCGGATCAGCTAGTGTTTTATAAATACCTAAACGAAAATAATTCATAAACATGTTTATTTAAAAGTCAAAAACTGTTGAGTAACAAAAAAGCGTAACACGGTTATCGTGTGTTTGAGTAATGTGAATATTATTCATTTTATTATGTTCCGTGAAAATTTTCCTGTTCTCCGTTCCCAGCTTACTGTTCATAAATCACAATTACTGTGTTTATTTAACTCGTATCTACTGTAATGATTAATTTAATACAAGTCTATTTAAGTTTAAAGTAATATGGTTTTGGAAGATTTATGAAGTTAATATTGGCTTAAATGGCATGGCATTCTATGTCTGTTTTTTTATTATGATCGTAAATGTTTGGCATGTAAGCATGCCTCAGTTGCATGCTCTTTGCGATGTTTTCTTCACTTTTTTACGCAAAAGATAATGCATTAGCCACGATTCAAATGTTTGACACCTATCACTGCCAAGTATATAGGTTTAAATGTATATATCGCTATTTTTTTTTATAAAACTGGGGGCAAACGGGCAGGAGGCTCACCTGATGTTAAGTGATACCGCCGCCCATGGACACTCTCAATGCTAGAGGGCTCGCGAGTGCGTTGCCGGCTATTGCTATCAAGAATTATGATTTCTTGTTTAAAATTATCTAAAGCGAAATATATATTAGTAGAATTCAAAATACTAGAAAAGGAATTTAACATGTATCTTTTTAAAAATTTACTATTTTATTATGTTCCAAGTAAATCAACCTTAAATTATGTATTTAGAAAAATCTGTTTATTGCTTTATGACTGAAGCTAAAAATAATTAGTCAAAGCATAAATTAAAATATTTTTGTAATACGTGGTCTATTATAATGATTTAACTGTTAACGTAATTAAAAACTCTTAAATAAAACGGGATACTACAATTAAGAAATAATTGATTTATTATTACACGTATCTTAGTTTTTGTGTCATTTTTGCAATTACAATGATTTAAACTCTATTTAAACACGAAATATGTAGAAATAAATTTAACACATTTATCTTCTCTACTTCAGATATGTGTCGTTTATTCATTCGATTCCTTATATATTTTATACAACACTTATATAAATACTAAAAATGTACGATTATTTGATTAAATTTTCATTCTATCAACATTGAGTATTTAACCAGTGTAGAGGTGGCGCTTCTAACCGTTCGTTATTCTACGAATAACGCTACGAATAACTGCTACGTACTTATTTGTAACACTGCGGCGTTTTACGTGGTATCGCCTTTGATTATTCTTGATTTTAAAGCTACGTGGTACGAATGATATCTAATAACTCATTATTTACTAGACTACTTATTTCATTTATATCATATTTATATATCAATCCGAAGGTCGAGTTCAACCTTTAATACAATTGTATTTTATCAGATATTTAAAGCGACCACTGTATATTGTAGAATTGTTGAGTAAAAATAGCAAAATTTCATTCGCTCAAAAGGTGAAGGAAAACATCGTGAAGAAACCGACATGTCTTAGACCCAAAAAGTCGACGGCGTGTGTCACGCCACAGGAGGCTGATCACCTTCTCGCTTATTAGAATGAAAAAAAAAATGATCGTGAAATAGATTCAGAAATCTGAGGCCAAGAACTAAAGAGGTTGTAGCGCCACTGATTTTAATTTATTCATCTGATTATAATAACATCCTAAATATTAATAATAGCATATGGAATAACAATTGAAAAAAAATATCATAATAGGCTTGTATTTACAATGCTAGCAAAGGATATGGTAGTCATTATATTTTCCACGTTTCTCTCACAGGGAGTTAAAAAACGATTGATTAATGACGTAGCCGCGGACTAATGAGCGTGAATGTTCGAAATATCTTTTGGGAATCGTTAAGCACACGCTGCCACTTTTTGTATCACCCCGGAAATGTTTGAATACGCTTTTCAGAGTATTTAAATGCCTATTTCCGTGAATGATTTTCAAAAATGGAAATTACACCCTTTTAATTGATGCGGGCTTTAGTATATCGCTGTAATTAAAACTTGATGTATGAGTTTTAATTTGTTTGTTTTTGTTATATTTATTACAAAAATATATTTTTTAATATTTCTTTGATCTAATGCATTACCACAAATAGATGTGATAAATGGTTTTTATATATAACAATTACGTTTATTTGTTACAGGTTATTTCTGGCATATAACGGACTTTCATTATGATCCATTGTATACATCACAAGGTGATACAAGAAAACGTAAGTATACATTACTTTGATTTGAAATTAACGAAATTGAAGTTACATTCGCGTGTTTTAAATTCTATGTAAAAACAAATACCAGTGGCGCGTTTGATCTTAAGCTTTAGATTTCTGCTTCTCGATAAATTTTATTAAAAGAAGGCTTTGTGTATGGTACATTTTCATTCTTAGCAATTATCTTAATTCAGTCAAGTGCAAATTTATTAAAAATCTCAAAGAATGTACTTGAAAACATATAATTTACTAGTCGCCTGACTTTGTACAGAAGCTTTTTTAAATATTAATAGTGAAGTATTCTAATGGTGAAATAATTTTTAAAATCGCTTCAGAAGATTTTGAATTTAATTATTTCAATATTACATATGTGAACTTTTTCTTTGTCATGAGTCCTTTTTTATTATTGTCCTGTTCACTGTTTTCATTTTTATTTTTTGGTATTGTTTCATTAGTTTTGTCTAAATAACTATGATTTATGTATTTTTGCACTTCTTGCACTTATCTTATCTAATTTAAAAAAAGATGGCCTAGAAGGGAAAAAATTGGTGGCCTAGAAGAGATCGCTCGAAAGCGATAAGGCCACCTGGTTCCTTATCCCTCCCTCCTTTTCACTTAATTATGACAATATTGTATTTCTGTAAAAAACGAAGTGTTAATAAATAAATAAATAATATTTGCTCTTTATCTTACCCACACAAAATGTATTTTTTATTAATTTAGATTGCCGTCGAACCGATGAACGGGGCAGTTCAGGCCACCATCGGGCACTCGGACGATTCGGTGACTACTCATGCGATAGCTCATTAGATCTCATACAATCAGCACTGCGGTATATGCGTACCAGGCATTCGGAAAATGTTGAATTCGTGCTATGGACTGGGTAAGTTTTGTATGAAGTGTGAACGCATTTGGTCCGTTGTGTGTGCCGGGTGTTATTAATCTAGGTCAACCAACCTAAACAAAGACGATTACACAATAAAAATGCATACCTGTTCTGGACTGATCTGTACATATCTTGTATCAGTGGCGTAACAATAGGGCAGGGCTAGCAAAATACCACGGGCCCCCGAGATATATTATGTTCTATGGATGAATGTGAATTCTTCAATACACATTGAGCTAGCGTGGGGTCTACAGACCATTCCCTCTCGCCTAAGAGAGGAGGCCTATGGCCATTAGTGGGACATATAGGTACAACGTGTAATTGAGTACGCTGAAAATCTTGAAGTTTATTAAAATTTAACTGAGTACAACGTGACGATTTTTACTGATAGGGCCCCCATCAAAAGAATTTGCCACGGGCCTCAGAAGGTTAAGTTACGCCACTGTCTTCTATATATACTAAGTAACACTTAGCAAGGCAATATATTTATTATTAAATCGTAGTACTAAACTAAGCTGTTATGAAACTTTGCAATATTTACTATGTAGTAATAGTTACTTTAACAGAAAACAATCAACTAATAACATTTGGGCTGGCATGACAAATTTTATGTTTTTAAAGGAAGTTACTTTTTGAACGATAGGGAATAATAACAAAAGTTAGCTAAAATATATCGCGAACCGTAGAGGTGCTCGCCTCACTACAGTCAACTAAAATGCACTTGAGGTGCTTAGTGCAATTAAAGTTCACACGTGTTTAAATGAAACATTTCCCATAAACATAAATATATTTCGAAAATGTATCAAATTGCTAGACTCAAAGGTGCACCAATCGTAATGAGACGCGAAGTTGATGTTTAGGTGACTTTTTGTATCGAAGAAGTCGCATAAATGCAATAATTCACTATATAATTAAAAATTGCTATAAATAATTTAACTAAATAAAGTGAAACGTAAGAAGTTTAATAAATTAATCATTATAAATTTAAAATTTAATAAATACATTTAAAATTTATTAACTTAATTAGTTAATTTCAGAGATATCATAGCCGCCGGATACCATACGAATGAGGATGACAGGTACCAGGCGATAAGAAACATGACGGAGTTACTACGAATGACATTTAGCTCGCATTTCGTTTTCCCCGTATTGGGGCATACGGATCCAGCCCCTTCAGAGAGGTTAACGAATTTATGGAGCCATTGGTTGCCCATGGAAGCTTTGCAAACCCTGAAAAATGGTACGGCTTTATAGCTTTTTTATTCAGACGACTTTTATATTGAAGAATGCCCTTTTACTCGCCAATGGAGGTTGATTTAATAGAGGATTCTGCTTTAATATCCCGTAAACGTTATAGATAGAGTGTCAATTTGTGACTAAAGTGTGTATTGCACTAGGGGATTGTTTGAAAAATGTACCGATGTTTAAAATGTTTTATTTTATTTAGGTATCTTGGCATGACTTTGAGGTTCCAAGAACTGACACTACACAGTGCACGGTCATAACAACTCTCAAATACATGCGCATACACAGTACACACCCATTCACACACTCACACATTCACTCATACTTAATGTATTATAAGACATAGTTGTAACAGTAAAACTTACTTTTATGTTCCACGGAATAATTGTTTTCTAGTTACCCAAAACACAGGGACTCGATAGCGATATAAATGAATTTTGTCACAACCCTTTTGTCATAAAAAATATCAAGATTTGATTATTTAAACATCTAAGCTTAGCCCATGAGCAACTTTTAGTTTTACATGGTTTTTTTAACTAAAAAAGTTAAAGCGGTAATTTAAGTAACGCACTACTATAAAACTGGGCATTAGGCATTTTTGTCTGTTAATATGGTATTTTTATGGAGTGTATTGTCTAGAAGTTATGCTATCTTTTCTTAAAAAATATAGATTAACATGTATGTCACTCAGAATATTTGCAGATTAGTTGTCTAGTCTACACTCATAATAATATCTGTAAACATGTGGCACTCTAAAACGTTGAGTAATGTACTTACTTAAAGGATTTCTATTTAAATAAGGTCATCTACGCCTCAGAAGAGAGCTAGCCTCGTCAGTGTATATATTTAAGATACTTACGGGTCGGGTACATAATCTGGATATAATGGAGAGACCTGATAGTATAAGATCCCGATATACAACGACCTTCACCGAGATGCTTATTTAATGAAATGTATTTTATATTTAATTTAATATGTCAATAAATATAATCCATATGGGTTGTCTAGCAAATTTCAGTCCAGAGTATTTTAATTAATATTAAAAAAAAAATATTTTTTTAAACATTTCACCGGTATGATTATTAGATAAATTCTATACCAATCGAAAGTATGAAGCCCATAGAATATGCAAACGTTAGGTTGTTTTTAATCAATTAATTATTTATGTGTATATTTTTTATGTGACACTAAAGTATATATACATCTTTAGTAAAAAAGAAAGTTATAGTGATACATATATAATACTACCCTGATTAAAAATATTGATTGAAAAAAATTTAAAAAATGTACTACATGCAAATTATAAAAAAATTTTTTTTTAAATATTAATTAAACATACTCTGGACTGAAATTTGCTAGGCAACCCATATGAATTATATTTATTGACATATTAAATTAAATATAAAATACGTTTCATTAAATAAGCATCTCGGTGAAGGTCGTTGTATATCGGGATCTTAGACCATGAGGCGGAAGTCTCAACTTTTGTATGTACCGGGCGCACATTCCAACTTGGTTGGCGAAGCACCACTCACGCGAGCAATACATATAATAAATAGAATTTCTGTTAAGGTAGACCTATTTGTTTGTACACTGGCTGAGTGCACAAGAGTTGCTTCCTATTTTATTAGTTATAAGATTTAGGTATATAAATATATATTTTTGTAATGTTTTTTATCTAGGTTAATTGGTGTGGGTTTAAATATTGTGTCGTTCTATCGAACTAGTAATTACTGTAAAGATAGAATAATGATATGGAATAAAATAAAATAAAAATAAAAAATCTTTACAGGTGGATACTACACAATAGAGCAAACACAGAGCAAACTTCGAATTGTAGCTCTAAATACAAACCTATTTACATTACGAGAAGAAAACACGCTACCTGCCCGTCGACAGTGGGAGTGGCTGGAAAAAGTCCTCGATAAAGCTACTACAAATAAAGAGATGGTAAGCTTTTTAAAAGTGTAATAATTCTTGTCTTGTCCTACGTACTAAATAGTTTTGCTATTAATTAATTTAAATAACGTAATTTAACTTCAGTTCAGTTTTTTTTTAGTATAGTAGTTTTATTCTAAGAGTACATTGTCTTCACATATAATTATTTAACTAATATAAACAAAATATTGTAAACCTATTTTAAAAGAGAAAGTGTGGAGTTTCTTTCCCATTTGTCTCCACACGAAACTACCTTTTGGTAGGGGTAACAAGAATCTTCTTTATATTTTATTTCACGTTCAAAGGTGCCATTTTAGGTGGTCTAATTAAAATAAATGATTTGACTTGACTTTGACTTTGTTAATGTTAAGATATACATATCGATATCGACTTTTATATTCATAATCTTCTTTAAATCATTTATTGCTCACGCAAACGGTGAACTTTTACGTAAACATACACAGAATAAATATGTATATTTATTCAGAATCGAACATTTATGCTCTTATATAAACAACTTTCAAAGTTAATAGCCCAACTTATTAACACGTTCACTGCGTAACAGGCCGATATCGGCCTGCCGCGGTATTTCAGCTGGTGCGGACGAAGAAATCTATGTCCCTCTCGCTGGTGCGTAACGATTATCTCAGGTGTTTGTAAAAATTCGACAGGGACAAATATATATTTCATCTTGCGGTCAAAATTGTAGGTGTTCCCCATCAAAACATAACGGCAGGCTTTTATCGACCTACCACGCACTGACGCTGCTGTGCATCCACTGAGAGTTAATCTATCCTAGTGCTGTTGGGTCTAGAAAGACCTGCCACGCACTGGCGGAAATATCATTGGAGGCGCATTTTGGCCCGCCGCCGCACCTGATGAAGAATTATGATTTTACTTGCCGCAGTGAACGTGTTAATAATATCCGTTTATTATTTGAAGCAACAACGATTACTTTATTAATAGTAACGATGAAAATGTTTTAGTTGCAATTTAAATACTTCTCAGTTAAACCGCTGTCAACTGTTGTGTGTTGTTTAATGTAAAAAAATCTTTTGTTGTGTCCTTACAGATAAAGTGTCGTTGGCCTCCTTCATTTAACACGTTTTTATTCAATTACGTAACATAACGCGCCGTTGTTGTTGTAATTTTGAATAATCATGTTTAATTTTTTAGTTCTTGGTTGTCATTATTTATATTATTTTTTTTTGGCTTTGGTTTTTTTTTATTTTTTTTTTTTTTATAAAGTTTTCCACAGATATTCAGATAGACATATATACATTATAAATCAAAGCTATTTGAAAATAATCAATGTAATATTATTTTAATAATAAGACAGTTGATCATAAAGATCCGTAATGTTGTGTATCAATAGACGCTTGCCTAACCGTCTCAAAGCTGAATTCCAAATTTGAAAGTTGGTATTAGTGGTAAGTTTTTAACCATCTACTTGGAGAGAACTATTGTATTATAACGAAACATTTATAGTTCTCTAAGTATGAACTTATTTATTAAAACTAACGTGCAAATTGAATACCCACAATAAGCACATAATTAAATATAAATGACAATAAGCTGGATAGGTCGGTATAAATATAGCTCGTCATTCGCCTGAATGTAACAAAGATTTTGGTGATCCGCACAGAACAGTAGATATTATTACGAGTCACGTATTATTGTATACGGTATGGACAAAAAAAATATTACTTAATTACACAACAAGTAGTTATAACTAGGACGCCGCAGTGCTCGCAATTCTGCTTCAGCACAAATTTGAGCGGAGCGAGTGTTCAACTCAATTTTTAATGATGAGTAAAAATACATAGATTCAAAACATTTAATTTAAAGATTTGATTTTGTTGAAAGGACTTTTTAGTTTTAGGTCTCCTTCGAAGTTGTTTTTCCGCTTATTTTGTAATTTATTCGTAAATATTATTGAGTTTTTATGAGGGAAATTTTCCAAAAAAAGAATTTTCAAAATCGGTTAAGCCGTTCAAAAGCCTTAGTGTTTGTACAGAGTGTCATAAGAGTGGGCGCATGGGAGCTTCGCTCGCTCCGCTCAATTAAGAACGGGTAAATAGAAAACTACGTAATTTTAAAAAGATTGCTCTCTTCAAGGTTTGTAATAACAGAAACGAATTCTTCGGTAAAATGATTTATTTTTGTACATATTAATTAAGCGAAATAATGGTCGAATCTTTAGCAACATATCAGCTATATAAGACCCGTTTAGATCATAGTATTAATTGTATAAAATTTTCTCATCGTCTGCAAAACTAATTATACGGTTGACGACGGTGAACTGACGGATGGTATGATTGCCTTAATATGACTAATAAATTCCAATATCTTTCAATAAAGCCCTAATGTTGCTTGGAGCGTACGCATGATGTATACAAACAAAATTAGGTGAATTTATTATGTGTATTTAGAAGTTTATTTTAATCATGGAATAACTTTTAGAATGAAAATTCGCAAACCCAAAGATCCTACTGACCAAAGGTTTACGCTTGGCCAAATTTTAAAATTCATAAGCGCTTCATATCAGTGGGTGAAATGTATAAATTATTCAGTAAAATATGTATTCAATCGGACTTTTCGATAAATATACTCGATTTTCGTATGCAAATCGATTCCAAGTTGATCTGTTGTGTGGAATAATACAATCGAATGTGGCAATTTATATCCATCTTTCAATGTCATGCATTATTTAAATAAGTGAAATTGTAAAGAGTCGTGTTGGTCTAGTGGTTTCAATGTGCAACTCTCATCCCTGGGATCGTCGATTCCCGGCTATGCACCAATAGACTTTATGTCATTTTTTATAGAAGTTGAAGCTGATGTTAAGTGATACCGCCGCCCATGAACACTCAATGCCAGAGGGCTCGCGTGTGCGTTACCGGCCTTTTAAGAATTGGTCTCTTTTCTTGAAGGACCCTAAGTCGAATTGGTTCTGAAATACTTCAGTAGGCAGCTGCTTCCACATAGCGGTGGTGCGCGGCAAAAACTGTGTCAATGTGCGCATTTACGCACGTACGGTGAAGGAAAACATCGTGAGGAAACCGACATGCCTTAGAACCAAGAAGTCGACGGAGTAGACGGTACAGAAGGTTGATCATCTATTTGCCTGTTAGAAATGATCACGGAACAGACAGTAACATAGTGAGCTGGGGCCATTTTGCGATAAAAATATTGTGTTTTTGTTTGTTGCCTTAATGGAATATAAGGGTGATTATATTTATTAAACAATGTTTCTATCGTTCTTAGATTATATCTTCGACATACTACATAGAATAACATAGTAAATAATGTTAATTAACATTTTAATTTTGCATTTATATGCCAGTTTGATATAACTGATTGTGCGGTTCATTAAACTCATCCATCGTATTATGTTCCAAATAAAGTATTTATTAAAGAAAGAACATACCAATATAATTGTTTGTTCGAATTAGCTATTCTCAAGAACTACTGGTGAGAATTGAACTGTTTTTAGGTATGTCGCAGCAAACTATTATAATATTTTTTATGTCATATGTTTCATCTTTTTTATATCTTACGAATCTACATATTTTTATCGTACGAATGGCCTAAGCATTAGCCAGGCAGTTTAATAAATTTTGTAACAAACGCTGCTACTGAATCTTTCAGGCCGCTAGTTAAACGGTGCCGTTTAGTTGAAAGGCTAGGCTGTTAATTGAACGGCTATTTAAGCTAGTTGCCTGCGACATATTATACATATTATTGATGTATTTATAGATACAGATTACAAAACACTTCGATAAATAGAGGGTGTGATCGCAAGGCACAGAGTATACAATCTAATCAGCGTTATATCATTTATAGATTTATTGGGTTGGCTAGAACATTAGTCATTTAAAAATAAAAACAATTGAAAAATAATCTTTAATAATCAGTTTTTAGGATTTTCGTAATTAAAGCCTCGTCTTTAATCATCAAGAATATCTTCACTCGAACGTTAACTAATAACGCAGTATTTACTTTCGTAATCAAATTACATAAAGTTATGTGAAGTGTACCTCAAGTTTTCGAACTCAACGAAATTATACTTAGTTAACAAGGTCGTTATCGGATTAGGTGTAATTTACTACCTATATAGGCCCTTAGCAATCGTGTTAGTCGATAAGGCTGAAGTAATTTTCGGGTCATAAAAAAGGAATATTCATCATTTTCTATTGGGGGTATAAGTGCGCTGTTGTTTACGGCCTTAAAAACAAGTTCTATGATATATGAAACAATTTAAATTTTATAAAACACATGTACATAAATAACTGTTCATGCAAAGTATTAATAGATACCAATTCTTCCTTAAAAAAGCCCTACGTATATTTTTATAAATATTTAATGAAGGGGCATTTCACGTGAAGTGGACAGCGAAAAAAGTGAGGTCGTAGAATATGTTTATATTCGGGTTAATCATACCTCTAGTGGGTATGAACGCAAATACGTAACATTTTTTTTTATGTTTATTTTTCAAGCCTTCCAAAAATAATGCTAATTGAAATTCCGAGTTTTTGGAGTAGATTTTCTAATAGGTTTTTTTTAATATCACGCTTTGCTGTTTGTATAGATTATTCTTTTTCTTTTTTGATTTGAAAAAAATTTGAACTCCAAAACTTTTTTTTTTTTAAAAAACTTCAACTATTTTTTTTTGTGTTTTTTTGTGCGACATGTGTACATTAATTCACCTATCTTCATAAATAGTAACCCACTATGAAACTTTTTGTATACTTTAAGATTATTTTTAAAACACATATTTTATTGTTGGTAAATAGATTTTTGGTTAAATTAAAATTTGAGAACTCAATAAAACATAAAACTCAATGTTTTAGATATCAGATTAGTAGATAGACAGTTTAGCCTGAAACTAAATATAAAAACATCGTATATTAAAATATAATGAAGTTATAAAGTTTTCTATCGTCCCTTTTGTCTGACAGATCTGTCGTGTTAAAAAAATATGTCTCTCAATCTTGTCTAACAATCTGTCTTGCAGCGGGCGCACTACAGACGCGCGGATTCTATTTATTCTAAGATATTATATTCGATTTATGAATCTTGATTTATTGATACAATCCTTATGTCACTATTAATTGAAAACATTTGAGAAAAACATGTACATTTATAAATAACTGAAATAAGCATACAATCTTATTTTTAAACTAATCAATCAAACATATAATCTTTAAATGAGATGTAAAGTCTAGTAAACGAATTTCTCTGATCTATTTAGATTAGATCTATTTTATCTTGATGGAGTTATAATGTTTTTATTAGACGTATGACTATAATCGTACTTAAAGCGTTGCTCGTGCGATGAAGGATAATATCGTGAAGAAATTGCCTTAGCCCCAAAAGTTAACATTTCTCACGCACAAAACGCTTAACTCCTTGCAAGAAATAATATCAATGGAACAGATGCAAGGCCAAGAGTTATACTGTCACTGGAATATTAATATTAATTGTATTTATTATTGTCAGTACTGATTATAATGTTTTACATTTATAGTTACACTACGACGTTTAAAACATTGGTATTACATTTTTTTAATTGATAGAGTGCGAGAAAGTTTGCTGTCAGTGCTTCTAATCTATTTAACGCTCTTCATTTGAAATATGTATTTATTTACATTCATTATAAATTGTTTCAACTATGCAGATGAGGATATTTTGATTTCATTAAATATAAATATTATTACAATCAGTGTACGGGTTTAATAGACTTAGTTTCGTGAGGACTATAACAACGGAAGTGGAAATTACGGTTACCGAGTCTAATAAATTGTAGATTAGAAACTCGTTAATCTAACAGCCTTTGAAATTGGAGGAAAGAATCCATGTTAGCTCGGATTTTTCTTGATGTTTTATCGCCGGTCTTGTACTTGACTTAATGTTTTTAGTTAATTACCGTGCTCCAATTTATTAAAGAAAGAAAGCTGAGATACTTTGGGCTCACTTCTACGTAGAGTTTTCTTTATTGGAGACATTTTTAACTTTGAAAACGGTTTCTTCACTATACTTCTTACTTAAATTATACTGAATAATTATTTTAAAAGTAAAGTTTTAAAGTTTAAAACTAAATTACATTTTAATTTACCTTGGATCATAAAGCATTACGAAAACTGAAAGTTGTGTTATAAACCTATATTTTTAATAATTTTCCTAAATAAATAAATGTGATGACATAATATTTGATTTCCGACTAAATGTTTTTTTAATTACAAAACAATATACATATAAAAACACAATTTTGTTTTTCAATTAACTCGATTATTTTTCACTATAAATAAGGAATAAATTGTAAATTTTAGCTTAAATATTATTTTTATAAGGGTACATTTTATACATATCTACATAGATAAAATAAGTAGCCTATGTACTTATATATACGTGCAAGTTCCGTTCATTTTTGCGTGCAATTTCATAATATGAGAAATGAGTTAGTGAAAACACAGAGATCTGTAAATAGCGATTTTGTAAATACAATTTTATAATTATATAATTAACTAAAAACGAAATTAGTTGATGAAAAATCAGTTTTTTTCTAAATTAAAATTAAATTTGCGAAAATTTTAAACAATTTTGGGACATGGAAATTTTACTGTATCCTCGATATAAAACTTTTCCAATTAGTACAGTTACAATTATTATTAAAACACAGCAAGTCACGCCCCGACGAGCAAAGGGTTTACGAATTCAATTTATTTCTATTTTTTCGCCGCCCCAAAGCTCGGGATTTGAAATTCATTTAAACAGAAATAACTCTGGATCGTGTCAGGAGGTCAAATTTTCTGGTGTTTACATAACTGTGTTGCCATGTTCGGTTGGGAACGGCTACAAGTATATTTAATATTAATTACAAAGTTATGCACAGACTAATTAAGTGTATGCAAATTTTAATAAAGCTTTTATTGATATGGTTTTAAATGTCTATTAATGCTTTTTAAAGTTAATAAGTTGGGCTAGTTTTTGGCGTGAGACAGACATATACGTACATATATGAATCAGTTTTATTACCTATCGGGTGTGAGATACGCTGGCTAACTTTAGAATTGGTTTGTAGAATTGAATATTTTTTTTTGTGAATATAACCTTTTACAGAAACATAGACTTTACATAGTACACACACTGATTTCAATGTATATTAATTACAAAAAATATCGATCTCAATGGCGGTATAACAACTGACATTAATTGAAAATATTGTGAAAACATATACAATATAGCAAAACCCGTATCAGCATTACAGTGCCTAAGTAGCATATATGAATAATTTTTATTTATATAAGTTTTGAACGAACCTCAGGGTTCTGAATAGTGTAATTACTAACTCTAATATATGTTTTCATTTTACTCAGGTATACATAGTGGGCCACGCTGCACCTGGTTCGGATTCCCGGTACAATACGTTGTCCGTGGACGCGAACGGGAAGTATCTACGATTGGTTCGCCGCTACGCGCGTATCATTGCCGGTCAATTCTTTGGCCATTTGCATGCTGATACCTTCCGTGTTATATACGATAAAGGTACATTTATCTACGGCACTTCAAGCTCTATTACTCTTTTTTGAATTGAAACTTCTTTAAGCGCATGAGGGTAAATTTTTTGCGGATGAAACGCTATAATAATAATACGCTGGACATCACGAAGATGTCCAGCGTTTTTGTCGAAGAAAAGCGAAAGAGAGATTAAGACCGATTGAGAGAGAAGAGAACCTTACCCTTATCTTATAGAAATTCTATTTTTAAAATTAAAATTGAGAGAATTTATGATGTATTAATATTTTATATTTTATTATTAATTTACAGAAATCTCAAATGACGAATTGTAAATTTAAATGCCACGTGTTTTTATTATCGAAGAAATAAATTTAAAAAATTAAATTTATAATTTGTATTAATTTTCGACACATTTACTAATATTTTAATGACAATTAAATTTATTAAATTCCTAACATATCTTCTTTTTCCCTCCCTCTAAGACGCGGATATCTAAAGTTTTAGGCTGCTGCCTCGAATTTTGCGGGCAGCGGGGCGGTGGCGGCTGCGGCGCGGGAGCGGGCGATCGCACCTCTCGTTACCCGCCCTCGCGCCGCTGCCACGCCGCTGTTTTATGCGTAAAATCAAATGGACCGGCCATTTGATTTTACGCATAAGATCCTGCCGCTCCTGCGCCGCCGCCGCTGCCGCCCCGCTGCCCGCAAAATTCGAGGCAGCAGCCTTAGATTTGTATAAATATGAACATTGAACAAGACTTTAAAATTAGTTTGCCAAAGAAGTTTTACTTCTGACATGTGTACCTACTTTGTACGCACGCACTTTTTTCTTGAAAGTCAGGACTGAAACGTTTTCGACTTTCTGGGTCTAAAGGATGCTGGTTTGCTCTCAAATCATGTTTTCGGTATGCGCACACAGAAAGAAAGTTCTATTGGTGCACAGCCTCAGGGCACTAATTCTACCCTACATTAAATAAAAAAAATAACTATTTTATTTTATGTACGAGGTTCTTATGTTAAGAGAAGTTTTCAAAATCCACGAGTAGCGTAAGGTTCTTAGTTGTTTGAGTAGAACAATGATATTTTTAACTTTCATTTCAAAATAAAAGTTATGTATATAGAGAGTAAATTTTCACAAGAAGCCTTTGACACGCGGTAATTGTTCGTAAGTTTCCCAAACTTTCTTTCTAGTTATTACAAAGCTTCTCTTATTTCATAGTTTTAGTTTCCATTTTTTATGTTATCGTTGTAATATTATTGGTGAAATAACAGTATAATTTTAATTAAATATAACCGATTAATTGTCTTTTGCCTTTTACTATTTCGGTTTTTGTTTAATTTAAAAATTTATCAGAAATGTAATTTATTTATTTACATTAGTATGGGGGACTAAAGTTTAATTAACATATATACAGTATTAGTTTAGTTTGATTAATTATAAATTTTTGGGTATAAGATCGGCTAGTATTAATAGTTCATTATGCTATATATTTTTATTAATTCAATGTTGGAGCTCCCTTGAATATTTTAAGGTACCTACTTAAAAAAAATTTACTCACGCTGAATTATCTAAAATATAAAATTATACTGCAATAATATTAGAAGGAACTTATAATACTTTTTCTTGCAGAAAATCCCGTATCCTGGGCTTTATTAGCACCCTCCGTTAGCCCACACCGAGAGCGAGGAGGTTCCTCTAACCCTGGCCTCAGGCTGTATAAGTTTGATACCGACACAGGAAAGGTAGTCGTAAATTTGTATTTGAATTTCTTATTCTCACAATGACAAGCACAGATCTTCATGTTTCGTTGATACTTTTTTCTTACTATCCAAAATATTATAGCTACAATAATTATGTTTGGAATCTGGAATAAACTCTTGGATAACTAAAAAATTTAGACGTTATTTGACATGCATTATAAAATGTGATACGTATATTTAGACGATTTACAGATTAACTGTCATATAGTTCTAAAAAATCAGTGGCGTTACAACCTTTTTTAAGTCTGGGCCTCAGATAAGTTTCATGATCATTCATCTAATAGGCTAGTAGGTGATCAGCCTCCTGTGCCTGACACGCTGTCAACGTTTTCGGCCTAAGGCAAGCCGGTTTCCTCACGATGTTTTCCTTCACCGTTAGAGCGAATGTTAAATGCGCACATAGACAAAGTTTATTGGTGCACAGCCGGGGATCGAACCTAAGACCTCAGGGATTATAGTCGCACACTGAAGCCACTAAGCCAAAACTGCTGCTCATAGTTTAGATACTTTTTCTTAAAACATTATTTTTTCACTATAATCTACAATCATTCATTTTACTGTAACTGTAACTTATATTATTATACTTAAAATAACAACATAGTAGGTTAAATATTAATTTAAAGCATAGTCGAGAATCAAAACCTAACATTTACTGGTTCAGTAACCACAAAATGATGGCCCATCTTTATGATGGACAATATTTTTATAACCAGTGACACCGTGGTTCTAAATCCGATCACTTCTGTCTGTAAAGAAAAAGCCTTACAAATACGTTAGCAACGAAAAAAAATTTAATAAATATTCTTCTATCATTTAGTGATATTTTGTCATCGTGTAAGAAACCTTTTCTGAGCAAGAATAAAAGGGTCCTTATATTTTTTGTTTACATTGCCTTTATCTTTCGTATCCTTTATTGTATTTTTTTAACTTTTTCTATCTGTAAGAATATCTTATCACAAAGACACTGAGGGTTAATCGATCCTAGTACTTGAAAGCTTTGTGCACAAGCCCACTACTAGAATACGTTAGCCGATCTTAGTTACGTGACTTGAGTGGGAAACTGAAACTGGGCTTGGGTAACATAGAACTGGAGTTCGACAATGATGCACTATGGTTGGATTATTTAAAATTGAAGGGAAACGTCCGTCATATCATTCCGTTTTGGAACTGCTGTCATTCCAAATTGCTGATAGTTTGAAAATCGATGTTTGGTTGATGTTTTAGAGACGTCGAGCTAATGATACTGAACCTAATAAATCATTTTATATGGCTGGCTGTTTGCTGCCAGTTCTTTAGAAAATACAATCATATTTTTCTTCATCGATTTTCTAAGTATTCTAAACTTAGATGTAGGTTTTTATTGTAGGCTTCATTTATTCATTTTTTAATTAAAGTCATAATTAGGTTTTAAATGATTGCATTTAATTTTGTGAAACCCTAAACTACTTAACCGATTTCAATCAAATTTGCACACCGTGTGCAGTTTGATCTAACTTAAAAGATAGGGTAGCTTACATCTCAGTGTATACCCGCAATATTATTTTATTGCAAATTATTTGTTTATTATTTGACAGTCACAATTCTTACAGATGGCGCTGTGTTGAAAGTACCAACGTTTCACCTAAGCTACAATTTAATGGCAGTAATCACCATGACTGGTGTTCTCCTACTGTTTCCCGTGAATAGTTTACTACTATGTAATATAACAAAATCCTTAGCCACAGCAACACTTGGCCGAGTCTGCTAGTAATCATACAAAATAAAGCTATTAAGGTAAATTAAAACTATTTTTACAGGTCTTGGACTATACACAAATCTACTTGGATCTAGAGACGGCCAATCGTGCAGATTCAGGAGCGGAGTGGATAGCGGAATATAATCTCACACAGTATTACGGCCTTCGCGATGTATCTGCCGAGTCTCTCCATAATTTAGCTGAAAAACTGCGAATTGCTTCTCCACATGAAACGTCGTACTTTAATAAGTAAGTGTTTTTTGACGATTAATTTAATAAAAATTGCCCAGGACTGGTACTTGGTAATAAAAATGGTTTAATTTAGTGATAAAACCGTAATTTATTTATTTATTTATAAGTAATGTTTAAGCTAACATACATATTATAAAACAAAACACTTAGAGAATACAGAAAGCCAAAACAGATTTTATAGATAAACAATATACAGGGTGGTCAAACAGTCATGGACCAAACGCAAATAGGGCTGAGCTAGAGACCTCCCGTAGAAAAATTTTTTGCAGGTGATGACCTCATCTATCCCCTATTTGCGTTTGATCCACGACTTTTTGGCCATCCTGTATATGAAACAGAAAAAAGTAAGAACATTAATAGACAAAAATATGTTTAAAAAAACTAACGAAAACTGAAATTTAACATTTGAAACAACAAATAATACTTTATATTTTAAATTACTGCTGAAACAAAATCAGAGTCTTCCCGCCTCTTCAAATACTTTCTCACATCTTCTTTGGTAGGTGGAAAATATCAATATCCTCATAATTGGTGTCATAGTTAGATAAAACCCGAAACGTTGGCGAATTATGCAGGTAATTCGAGTTTGTACGAGGCACATGAAACAATTTTGTGTATCTTGTCCCATAAGGATTGAGGGATTTTAAGAGAAATTAACGGCAGCAATAGTTCCTTCAATTAATATTTAAAAAAAAACATATACTCGAAGTTTTCCTTTACAGGTACATACGAGCATACAGCGTTAAATATGACAGCGCACACAACTGCGATGGTGCGTGTGCGCATCAACACTTCTGCGCAATCACGTGTCTTGAGCATGTAGCGTATAGACAGTGTGTGGAGGCTGCAGCCAGCGCACTCGCAGCTTCTGGGCGATCTGTTGCGCTTGCTCCGCTTGTGAATGTAGTATTTGCCCTTTTATTTATTGTACTAAGCTTTTGTTAGGAATCAAAGTGACTGAACAATTTTAGTATTAGTGGGAAAATGCTCAGGCAGTTTGTGATATTGAAGTATTTGAGAGAGTGAAGGATTTTCTGCTACAATGTTATGCTGTCTATTTGTTAAGTTACTTTTTATTAATTTAAAATTTTATGTACTGAAACGGATTGGAAATTATTTGTTTAACTGTTTAATAATATTCCACAGCCTTGCGATTCTGTAACTCACTTTTCGCACTCACACAGCGGTTTTCGCAGCGGCGGTCGCGCTCAAATCAGTCGTAAGGCAGTCATTTTACGATTTGGCATTCTGATAAACAATAAACTACAAGCTCCTTATCAGAATGCCAAATCATAAAATGACTGCTTGTCGCCGCTGTGTGAATTCGAAAAGTGAGTTACAGAATCGCAAGGCAGTTTTTGAAAATATTGATAATTTTTACTATTATTAAATTAGAAATACAGCCAAAATGGATTACGTTAATTACCACACGCAAAGCAAATAATAAGTATGTTTTATTAAAAAATGCTAGACTCACGATTTTTTTATAATCAAAACGGTTTATATGTAAATATTTTTTATTAAATATAGTCTGCTAATGCAAATGCATTTTGTAAAAAGCTATTCGGGATTTGCAGGTTATTTATTACCCAATGTTATGAATGAAATTTGTGTTTATCCAATGTCAATTTACTTCCGGTTTGATAGTTAGACCTTAGATTTAAACAATATCTTCGTAATCGTTGTAAATTAAGTATTTTATCTTATTGTAAATATTTTAGTGTGTAATTCATAGGCGTTCTAATAGCAAACGTGAAAAGGGCATGTTTTAATTCACCCTCAAGCTTTTAAAAATAATAGGTAGGTATAGTGTGAAAGTGTGTGCAGGCCGCATCCGACGCCCTCAGAGTTTGAAGGCGATTAACTGCACTCACTCCGCTTGTGAACACAGTCTCTACACGTATGTGTAATGTATTCATTCCATATGTTTTCCCCGATTAGGTTAAATGCTTGTAAAGCTTCGTAATTTAGAGTTAAAGAGAGATGTACGTCAGAGTTTTATGTGGCCTGTTTCCTCTTTGGGGATCAGGTGTGAGTTATATAGATAAAAATAACCACTAAAAATAAGTCCACGGAGACTTAAAATATAAAACCTTTTATAGCACATTATTTTTACATTATAATAACATCAGGTTATAATAAGATACAATTTGCACGTTGAATAACGTGCAGTTTTTTACATGTGCGTAAAATTTGTTGCAATCCATACTAAGCGTTGAAGTTGCATTTAAAATAAATTAGACATTTCATAATTTGATTTTTAATTTTGTAATCTTAAGAATTGTGTATATAAAGTATATTAAATTTGTAAACGTGGAACAACTAGTTAATAAGATATTATTGAAAGCTTTTAATTTCAGGCAATTTATTTTTCTCGATCGTGCGATAAACATTTCTTGAGATAAGTTTGACGTTATCGGTCATTAAAAACTAAATGAGCCAACGAGCATAACTTGTCTATCATAAAAGCAATTAGAAAAGCGCTCACTACTTAATTGTGTGTCTAAAGGTGGTTTCACACCGACAGAATAAAAAACAACTGAATATAATAAATTTCGAGTACGATCTTTAATAAAAAATATACATCGAATTGTTTACATTCTAATTTTTTTTAACTCGTCTATGATGGAGCAAAATTTGTTCGTTTATTTTTGTTATCTTTGAATGTGTATATATTGTACATATGTTACAATCAAAAACCAACTGAAATTATTTCGTTAGAGAACTTATGGCGATTTTGTAACGACATCATTTTATTGTTTTATTAACAATAACTCTCGATGTAAAGCCATCTTTAGACAACAAAATCTATGATTAAACCTTTCGCTCGAGAAAAATAAGTAAGAGCCACACGGCCGAGACCAAAATGCTGATTAATTTTGCTGTAATATTATTTATAATATTGTTCCCGTTGATGACATTACATGTTTTAGTTAATAAACGAATGTATTCTAAAGCTTGTTTTATTCCTGAAATCATTTAATTAATTAATTAGTTATTCAAAACATCATTTTTAAGTACCAGATGCGACAGCGATCTTTTTAAAGTCTAGATAAAAAAACAGTGACCCTACAACCCTTGATCTTAGCTTCAAATTTCTGTAACTACTTCGTGAAGAACAACAGTTCTTAATAGCAAAACTGATCGGCTTTCTATGCTTGACACTCACCATCAACTTTTGGGACTAATGGATACTGGTTTCTTGACGATGGTTTCCTTCACCGTATAGCGTAAATGGAATGCTCATGTTATAAATATTGTCAAAGGCAAAGTCAAAATATGACTTAAGTTGATGTCCCCAGGTAGGGTAGAGGGCAACCAGCATAGAAAGCCAGCCTGGTACCTGGGCAGCTCTCTTAATTTCACTCCACGTCATTCCAGCTTCCTTCGCCTTTGCAATGATGCTTCGTAGCCAAGGCTGTTTCGGCGGCCACGTCTCCTTTAGCCTTGAGGATTTGTCGAGATCTTGCAATGGTTATGTAACTTGGATAACCCCGGAGCGTAGCAACCCACTTCCACTTTCGGAATTGTATAGACTTATCAATTGATAAGTCAAAATATCAGTCATATTTACCCTAATGAACTTCTATAAAAGAATGATTCTGAATTTACGATTACTGACGAGATAGAAAACTCACTGTCACTCATGTTAGTAGCCGAGTTTAAGTGTACGAGTATCGCGCCTTAGATAAATTGTAAGTTTATATATTACTAGCTGCCCCCGCAAACTTCGTTTCTCGTTAATGTGATTTTACTTAGCCTACCTTTTTAATACATACCAACAACAACATTTTGCTTTGCTAACCCGGAGACTGTTTGATTTTCCGGAATAAACCTTCAAGTCAACCTTAAGTTCAAGTCATAAGAATTTAATTAACAAATAAAAAATTAAAACAAAAAATTTTGTCAAAAAAAAAAGTTTTTTGGTATGGGCACCCCTTATCACTTAGGGGTTTGAAATATAAAAATAAAAATATAAATCGCCGATTCTCAGACTTATTGAATATGCATAAAACATTTCATAAGAATCGGTCGAGCCGTTTTGGAAGAGTATGGGAACGAACACGAGAATTTTATATATAGAGTTTTGGGTTTATTTAAGTGTATAGCTGAGGCAATGTAGTTTGAGCCTTGACCCCAAAAAGGGTGTATTTTGTTAAAATTTTCGAAAATAGCGAATATGTCTCTTAAACCGAGAGACTTTTATGGAACATTAAATATATTTTTCTGAACCACAATGTCTTTAACCGGCAGGTAATATATTATCCATTTATACACGCCATTTATATACGCCACACACACAGTTATCACAGACCCGAGATAAAACTTTTTTGTTCGATTCTGTACACGACCACGAATCTATTAGACATAAAATAATATCCAAACATCTCTTATATTATTTACAAAATAGATCTTCTTAGTTTCTTTTTGTTGTATTTATGAGAACAAAGTGTAAAAAGCATTTAGATAAACTGACACAAAAACCCATTTGCGCAGAAATATTCCACCCTTATAAGCTCCTTTCAATGTGTTGTGATTGTTATTTCAATAAAATAACATCCTCAAGTACAATAGGATTCTACACAAATGTAAGGCTCAACAAAACGTGATATCATGAAATCTTCGAAGCTTTCATACAAGCATGGATTCACAAGAAATATCTTTCGATTAAAACAAAATAAGCTTTTTCAGTTGAACTTTTATATTGAAAAAAAAAATATAAACGTAATGTTTACTAGGCAAACTCGGCCACGGCGGCTTTTGTGTATGCAGGATATGTGTGATAGGACACGACTGCAGAACCCGAGAGGTGTCGGTAAATTGAGAACTCGGCGTGGTAAGCGGTCGCAATTGCTGGCAGTGCCTCGGGCGCGGACGAACTTACTCAGAGAAGCACCATTTACGCGTGTTTTGCGCACACTAAACACTATTGCTTGTGAGACGGATATAATATTTAGTTGCACACTGGCTGAATTCACAAGAATTGCATTATTTATAATTAGTTATAAAAAAGTTTTTACTTGTTATGTGTATATTATGTTTTTAGTTTAGTTTTCTATTGTATTAGTATTAAGTTACTGTAAAAATAAGAAAATAAAAATAAATAAAAAAATGTGTACGTGTACTAGGTGTACACACGTAAGAAGTGAAACTTCTTTATGACCTTATTAGAAACTATTTCTTTAAACACAGTAAATTTTGATACACTGCCTAGCATACAATTTACAAATTAATTGCTGCAAATTGCGATTAGCAAATTTCAAGTCGAAAATGTAATCCGTTGTCAAACTTCAAAGTCAAAAACATACTATATGTCATATTTTAACGCCGATAAAGAAGTTTGACTTCGAAAATGTAATCCGTTGTCAAACTTCAAAGTCAAAAACAATATGTCGCGTAACGCCGATAGAAAAATTTGACTTCGAAAATGTAATCCGTTGTCAAACTTCAAAGTCAAAAATATAATATGTCATATTTTAACGCCGATAAAGAAGGTTACCCCCCCCCCCCCCCCCCCCCCCCCCCCCCTGAGTTCAAAAAGGCGTAACGCAAAAATGTTACACTAAATTTTTTTCCAACCCCGATAAAGAAGTTTCACTTCAATAGATGTAAATGTTTAAAACTATACATTCTTATCTAACACGGTGGTGTTCCTCACATCTGACTTCTAAACTTAAGGCTACTGTTAAACCTCAAAATTGGGTATTTTAATTTTTCCAACCAGTTATAGACGGGACTTCATGACGTGTAGTCAAATATTCTCACCCTTAGACTCATGGGGTAGCTTTGTCTGGCAATATACCTATGTTGTTACAATATACATTATGATGACGGTTATAATCTTTAACATGGTAAATTATTAAAAAAATAATATTGGTACGTATTTTTGTAAAAACGGTGTAACTTATGCATGACGCCCATGGGCTTACTGACCGACACGCAAC